TGCCCAAGCAGCTGACTTTGTGAAACTGAGCTTTGTCTGGCCTCTGCCCGTTGACCTTTCAGGCATGATTGGATCTGCAGCTGTGAGGAGCCATCCTGTATAGCTCGCAGGGTCATTGGGGTGAGCAAGCCATCACACCACGACAAGGTACAATCTCGTCGTGATGGTCCTACAACCTTGACGTCGTCCGCAAATATATAGCTAGACGAGCGTTCAGGCAGATCATTGATGTAGAGTAAGAATAGGAGTGTACCTAGAACTGATCCTTGTGGAATACCACTAGCAATAGTTTCCACTGATGAGCTCGCTTCTTCGACCCGACGGGACGGAACAGCACCTTATTGGCTGGGGGCTGTCCAGCTTCGCGGGCGGTAGCTATCCATTATCATTCAGCGAAATACAGTGAGGCGATCTTCACCGATCGCTGCCAAACTCGCAATGCAGACAAGGTTAGTGGTGATATTTAAGGTAAACAGGGTTTGGACCTATTTCGAGGGAGGGCAAAGAAGGTGAATCAATATGGTCAACACACAGAGGATACAATCGAACTCTGCATACATACTGTTTCAATCATTCTCGCCTGAGAAGAAATTAAAACAGGAACGCCACTTGTGGCGGTTCGCTGCCATATCCTTCAATGTCTCCAACCAACCAGTTGTGAAGTCTTTCGGACACCAATCTGGAAAGCTTGAGACAACTACCCTACCTAATGGCTCTGTGCATTTCTTCATGCCTCGTCTCCACGTCATCTGTTGACCTCTACGTAGTTTCCTCAAGCTTCGAGCGGCTGCAGACGACAGCTGGGCATACGCATCACGTGTCCTAGCCAGCGAAGTCTACTAATCTGAACTCGGTGTGCTAACAGGTATATCCCTGATAGACTCCCAAATACACGACTTACTTGCACGTTACTAACCCGTTGTCTCCATCCCACGTGGGCTAAACTACGTAAACACGGATAATCGAAAACCTCTAGTCGACGGATATCTTCTACTCACAAATTCAGGGTCTCACAACCATACAGCAGAACTGAACAAACAATGGCACAATTTATACGACCTTTCACCTTCAGTGGTACGTCTCGTCTACGCCAAAGGTGTTTCAGTCCTGCGTATGCTGCTCGAGTCTTGGAAATGCGGGCGGTTATCACTCTTACTAGGCTACCGTCATTAGTCAAGCAACTACCTAAGTAGGAAAAGTAATCAACCATAAATAATTCCTGGCCTTTCAGTTAGCTGGAGTAGGCGACACTCAGTCCTGCAGCATCACTTTGCACTTTGAAGGTGAGCTTTGTGCGTCCTCCATGCATTCGAACAGATAGGCCATGCAATCGGCGTACTGCGAATCACACAGGTGGGTAGCGGTCCAGTGAAGTGCAAAGCTCCAGGTACCCCGCTCTTACGTCCACCTAAAGGGGTTTTTGACCAGCAAACTGTCCCTCACAGTGTTTATTTGCTGGGAAGAGCCGGGATGGGCCCAAACAGCCGGCCTTGTGAGATTGAGCTTTGTTTGGCCTCTATCCGTTGATCTTTCATGCATGATTGGATCTACGGCTGTAAAAAGCCATCCTGTGTAGCACGCAGTGTCATGGAGGCACGCAAGCCGTCATACCACGTCAAGATGCAGTCTCGTCGTGATGATCAATCAAGTTATTGCTGTTCGAAAAATTAGAAAAATACGGTATTCGGAGATTCACTATAGATAGTTTAATTTATCCAAACTAGAAGAGAGGTAGAGAATTCTATGTAGGACATCTTCGATGAAAACCTTTATGTTTCCAAATATCTTCTTAGATCACCATAAACCCGTACTTTACCAGAAGTATGCAAGTACAGTGACCCGAACAGTTCAGCATGAATTAGGGTTATTTCCCTGAGAAGGGAGCCCCGTAGGTAACCAAGCAAACGCACCCACTAAATCAACAACAATAGTGTCACTCAAAACTCGAGACCACATCAAGATGTTTTCAGTACTGCAGCTATCTATTTGGAGTCCGGCTTCCTGTTCGGGCATATTTGCTTCCACCACAAGTGTCAAACAGCGAACTACTACCCAGGCGAAAACTTTAGTGGCCATCGGAATCAAACCTAGTCCTCTGTGGACTCCGCGGTAGTCCATCACGCGAAGACTGCACCTTCACGTGGTGTGATGGCCGCCGAGGACCACCAGTTCGAATATTACCGCTTGTTTATTTAGTTGGCTATTTTGGACCGCATGAAGATGGAACGTGTGGAGAGGTTTCCATGCACAACCGGTGTAATGCAAACAAGCAAGGTACTGACATCGAGGAAAAAAGAACTGGTCCAACCTTGTGTAGGAGTTCTTTTCGGTATTGTTTTTTACCAGTAAGCTTACTTGTTTGAGACGAACACTGATAATGATTCCGATACCCGGCAGCGATAGTTTGATACTTGAGATGGAAATGTCTATAACAGTTGCATACAATTCCAGTCCACCACAGTCCTGTAGCAAACGAAGATGGGGAGAGAGACAGATAAAATAGGATACTGGTTAGGTTTTGAATAAGTCACGATATAAGAGTATCATAAGTGAAACAAATGAGCAGAGACAAAGTGCGATGATTCTTCATTCATAACAGGATTCTATTCCCAATAAAGAGAGGGTGGTAGAGAAAAGACTACTCACCCGAAGACAGGCAGTGAGAAACAAGCGTTGACTAGCCTCCTGAGCCCGCCGGGACATCATGCGTCGATGATTGCACCAATCTGCTTGCGTGGCTAACTGAGAAGGCACAAAAGCAGTCTCCTCACCGATCCTGTTCAATGGCCGAAACCGGGATGACCATGGTGCTTTGTAGTTGAATCGGTGTAGTTGTTGAATCAGATCCGATTTCGAAGTTAACGAAATCAAATGATCCCCGGCCAAGATTGCACCGAGTTGTCTATGTACGAGCAGGTCAGCATAACGCCGAATGGGGGACGTGAAATGCGTGTATAGCGGAACGCTGAGACCAAAGTGCCAGGTGGCATCCAAGATTTTCTGACGATCGATGTCTGAACTGGTTTGCGATTGAAATTTCGATGACACCAGGTCGTCTAAACTGAAATATTTGGCCATCTATGTGTGTGTATGACGGCGGAAGTGGAGGTCGAATGAAGTCAGACGAAAGATTGTGAGTGATTAGAGTCGAACGTAGCGGAAAACGAAATGTAATGTAGAGAAAATTGGTGTTGCAATTGCAAGATATCAGGATATGATTTTGCAAGTCCTCAGCTAAACAAATCGGAAGTAGCATAACACCATAGTTGATAATGAGGATGTTATGCACAATTAGTTTCAAATCAGTGTTTTCTGTTACCGGGAACTTCTCAACTTGATTGGTGTTTTGGTAGCTATACGCCACCTGCAAGATCGGGTCTATCAGAATAGTGATCCAGTTCGACTGAACTGAGCCGCTGAGCAAGCACGATGGACTTGCGACGGCTTTAGTTTGATGGCGGTTTAGCTCGCTTTGAATTGCTGTTTATATGTTAGTCAAGCAATTTCTTGTACGCATGCCGACGGTTTCCATAACCCGAACACTAGGCTCTCATAACCGTCGATTTATATACTTTTTCACATGCTCAAACATTCCCACGGAGAGCATAATGAGAACACAAACGGGCAAACAAGCTCCTTTTCGGTGTGTCTTAATCGTGCCATTACAACATAATATATATGACTAGTAACAGGTATCCCGAATGGATACCCGGAGAGCTGGGTGGAATCGGTGATGCAACGAAAGGAGGTGTTTCCCACGAGGGTAATTGCTGGTACGTTTGTGTACATTTCTTTACCACTTAAAGGGGATACCTTGGTCGAGATTGTGCACAGAAGGTTCTACGCAGCTAAGCTTCAAACTCGATTCACATCTAGCTCACTGGTGGATTTACGGTTGAATGACCGATTCTGTTGCCTCTTTCTGTATTTAGCCTTTCACTTGCTCCTGTGAAGTAACGTAACTTGGTCGCACGATCAGGCGTCTGTCCAAGTGCATCATCATGCGTGGTTCAGAAGTGGAGTAATTAAGTCAATCACTAGTGCAGCCGTATCGCATCCTGTCGACACTAATCACATTTTAAACGTTACCGAAGCGTTGCGACCTTTGTATAGAGTTAAAACGGGATGGTCTAGACACCTGCGCCTTCGCATTCTAGCCACAGCGGAGGCAGTGAGTACCGGTCTACACAACCCCTCTCTGTGTGTTCAAAACAATTTTTGCAAACACTCAAGCTCCCATGACCGGATTACGGACAAGTGGCCCGTCATGAAACATCAGAGCAAATGATAACTGGGGGCCCACTATGATACAAACGGTTGAATACTTTAATTACTTTCCCTTTTCCCCCATTAAATCCTTATCTTTTATTGTTCAATTTCAGTTTAACGGTTACCTGTATCGTCAAAAAGACGGGATCGCTATGGCAGACATTTATGGCAAAGTTGGAGAATGACACGTTGTCCACCGGTATGTTGATGATATTATTTGTG